GAGACATGACAAAGCAGTTTGAATTTCATAATCGGCCCAGTAGAACACAAGATATAGAACTGTCTTTTTGCGAGGGGGCGCAGTGTACATTCACTCTTATTTAGCCTTCATTCAAAGGAAATACGGTGCTTGCTATAAATCAGAATGAAATGGTTAAAATAAGTTCTTGATCAGCTCTGTAGTGATGTAGAGCTACTTGCAAATGCCTTATGAGAAGAAAATTGCTCCTCCTCCACACACATTTTAAAATTTACTCTGCAGAATAAATAATCAGTAATTCATAGTATAGATAATTTGAAGAGTATCCTTATGAGTTCGAATTAATGAGAATCTCTCCCTTAGTGTTTCTTATCAGTAACTACAGAGCAAGATCGTCAGCATAAAGAACAGCCTTTAAAAAAAAAAAAAAAAAAAAAAAAAAAAAAAAAAAAAAAAAAAATTATTAATATTTTAGACATTACAAAGCATTTCAGGCTGTGGGAAACCTATTTTGTTTAAGATGTGGCAGATTATTACAGAGTTTAAGACAATCCAGTCTAGGAGAGAGCAACAATTTAATGTAGTTTATCATATTGTTACATGGTCCAGTATTATATTATAGCTCAATTTCAGAAATCCACATATTTTTTTACTATAGATTGTAAAACCCAGCTATCTTAAGGTTATTGAGTGTTATAAAAATTTTCATAATTAATAAAAATTGTGGATTTAAAGATTCGTTATGTTGAATAAAATAGCATTATGCATATTAATGTATAGAATCAAAAAACGAAATTTCAAATGGATTTGAAAATTATTCTTTCATTTAAATTTAGATTTTGCATATTTCTTTTATATGATTAATTCAGTTATGGTACCTAGTAAAGCATTTGACATTTAAATTGTTCTAATATGATAAAAGTTATTTTTATAATAAATAACTTTGATAATGAAAAAGCAGCATATTTGATAATGAAAAAGATATTTTAATATAACTATTAATTCTACGAATTTTAAAAAATGCATAAATTTATTGAACTAACCAGAGAAGTTCTTTGTTTTCATAATTTCTTAGCACTGAAATGAAAATAATAATATTAGTAATATTTACATTCATGGTTCTGCTTAGAACAAAAATTGCAATATTTCAAAATTTATAGCGCTTTGAATGTACTATTATGTAAATGTAATGTGAATGTGTTCTGTAAATTAAATGTGATTTTTGAACTTTGAATTGGTGTAGTAATTTCAAATTACAATTTTCTTTTCAGCATATAAAGGACAAATTTTGGAACTTCGTGTTCTACAAATTTATTTTTATATTTGGTGTGATGAATGTTCAATTTATGGATGAAGTAGTATTGTGGTGCAGCTGGTTTTCTATCCTGGGATTTTTACATCTTCTTGCTCAGTTATGCAAAGACAGATGTGAATATGTAAGTTTAATCTTTCTATAGTAAATATTTTTAGAAGTAGTGTTTGAATTTAATTTTCATTGATATTGAATCATTTTATTCAATTAAAATTGAAAATAGTCTATATAATAAGCTTCTGTGTCTTTTTCTCCAAAAATAAATTGGATAATATAATTCTAATATAGTTAAAGAAATTATAAAAAATGATAATGATTGTTAACAGGGTAATTATTTCATAAATGAAAAAAATATAATGTATATAATATTAAATATAAAATAAGAAGAAAATGAATGAAGAAAATATTCAATTTAATACTTGAATATAAAATTATTATTTAGTTATTAAAATAATTGCTATCAAAATTGATATATAAAAAATTAGAATGGATCTTAGGTCTTATATTACATCGGATTACATGTACAGTGAATGCTCGACTATCCAAAAAGCTTGAGAAATGCTCGATAAGTGAAAATTCTGGATAGTTGAGCATATAAAAAGTGCAGTTCATGGTAGGAAAAGTAAATAAATGGAAGAAGAGAATTTTGGTTTAAAATTAAAAAAACAGTTGCCTTATTTTTTATCAGCTTGAATATCAAAAACGTACATTTAATGCTATGTTAGATTGGAGGGAAAAAAGAAAAATTAGACACAAAAACCAACATATATTCACAGACCTTAATTATATGCTAGTATCTAAAACATCTTATCCCATTATGGAATCTCACTGACAATGTAAGTTGACAATGTCGTCACGGCGCGCAATGAACTGGAAGTTTATCTGTCAGCACTATACTTATCTTAAGGGCAGATGTTTTTATTTTATTCGGCTTATAATTCCTTACTAAATGTAATATTTCATCTTGATGTACTCCATCTGTGTTATGATCTAAATCAAATTCCTCATCTTTATAAATATCATGAATACACATCAAATAGATTTCTGGTTGATATTTTCTAATTTCGACTATGCGTAATGTATGCTTTACGCATGCACGCATTGAAAGAAATGTTTAATAAAGTAAACAAATAAATATTAAGCTTTTTTTTGTAAATTTTGATACCCTTTAGATCATAATTTCTCTTTATTTCATAAATTAAGGTTTCATATTTTTAATTTTATAATTTCTGCATGCCATCTTACCAGATTTAAACTGATGATCTACGAGGCGTATTTGGAAACTAAGTACCATTTGAAAAAAAAAAAAAAAAAAAAAAGTAAAACAATTTTTTCGAATCCAATTTTATTTTTACATGAAAATAATGTCTTAAACTATTTTTCAACATATTTTCCGCCTATGATCAAACATTGTCACAGCGGTGACAGTTTTTGTATACCATCGTCAAAGAAACTTCCGCCAGTTTCGTAACCACGATTCCACAGCATTTTCGTGTCATCGTCAATCAGAGCGCTTGCACCAGCCGCGCTTCATGTGCAGGAACAATGATAGTGGATGGCGCCAAGTCGGGCTGTACGGGGTGATCGAACTGCTCCAATGAAACTGTCGAATTAAAGATTGAGGGACACCAGCATTGGGGGCCGAGCATTGTCATGGAGCAACACAATTCTTTACTGAGCATTCTTCTTGTGTTTTGAATGGCACGCCTTAGTTTTGTTAATCTCACAATATCGTGCCCGTTAATTTTCACCTCTGGGAAGAAATTCAGTAAGCAAAACGCCTTCCATCCCAGACAGTGCACATGATTTTGTAATGACATTGTCACTTTGAACTTTTGTTTTTCGGAGAATGGTGTCTCCACTCCATCGATTGTTGTTTCGATTCGGTGGAAATGACACACCCAAGTTTCCCCCTGTCACAATTTGGTTAAAAAGTTTCTCCCTCATCACTACCGCGTGAGAAATTCAGGGCACTACCAAGTTGCTTTTGTTTGTGAAATCGTGAGCATTTTGGAACCCATCGGGAACACAGTTTGCGATAATCAAGCGGTAGACACACTTTCGAACAAACAGTAGTGAAATTTGTGGAAGTGCCTCTGAAGGAGTTGTCATGTGAAGCGCTGTTCTCATGAATTGCTTTATCAACTTTCCTTACCAAATCATCAGTACACAGAAGGCCGACCACTCCGAGCCTCGGCGTGGACGTTTATCGACCTGCATTAACATTCTACCCACTTTCTCCCATTCCATCACTTATCGCGTATTCACCGTAAATTCTGTCACTTGCGATAAATTTCGCCGGTTTAACATTCCTCGCTTCAATTTAATACGGCACAAATCTTACAGTCAGCGGGAGAACTAATTCTTACATTTTGAAGCGCCAGCAAACTGAAAACAACATAGAGCAACCCAAATGGCAACAATTGAAGTCAGTGAACAAGAAAGACTAGTGCGCTGACGGGCGCCTACACAGTGCTGCGACAGCGCTAGAATAAAATGGTACTTAGTTTTCTAATACGCTACGTATATATATTTGTTTATTTTATTAAACATTTCTTTCCACGGACTCATGCGTAGAGCACACATTCTTTACCCGCATAAAGCATACCAAAAAAAAAAAAAAAAAAAAAAAAAATTGGGGCCTTTGAGGTCCAGATTATAGATCATTCCGCATAATGGACGTCCGGATAACGGACTTTGTACTGTATTGTTTATTATGCTTTGCATATGCTTTAATTTTATCAAAATTTGAATCTGTGTACACTCATCTTGCAAGAATATAAAAGGCATGTGCCTTGTTAGTCTTTGTGAAATTTATTTTTCTCAGTCATATTCATTAGGTATTTAAAAATATATGTTCTTTGAATGTTTTAATAACTGAAGCATTATATCGTCCATTTTTTTTTTCCTCTTTTAGTTATCTTTTTCACCAACAACTCCTAAATGGACACACTGTCGAGTTTTGATGTTGTTGTTTGGAATATTGTCTGTGTCATTTTGTTTGTTTGGAATCTGTGTGTTTGTAGGGCTGCATGCTGGGATCAACACTTTTGCTTTCATGGCAGCTGAGGTAAGTTGTATGTATTTAAATTTCTTTGCAACATATACACTGAAGCCATGATGAAAAAAACTGGTCCACCAACTTAATATTTTGTAGGTGTACCGAAGTATAGAATTTCAGAAATATTTATTGCATGCAAGTGTATTCTATGATGAGTGAACATCATACGTCCTGTATTCTGTAATTTTGTTGCATTCAGAAGTATAGGATTTCTGTTTTTCATAGGATATTGCATTGCATCTCTCATATGCAATACAATATGATATTTCATATTTGATGATATTGAAATGTGGTGATTTGGCCATGCATAAGACTCAAACTCACATGAGTATTCTGACTGTAATTTGACGTCTTTAAATTTTGCATTGTCCTATTAGAAGAGGCCAAACCCATCATAGTGGATAGGGCATTAACAACGATAACTCATCTGAAAGGATGAGTGCATAGCATTCATCTGTCAGAGACATTTTTATGAGGTATTTAAGTACAATAATGAGACTAGAAAGATAATGTTCAATCTGGCAGTGCTGTGGACTTCCCATTTGGAGGGAACATTCTGCACTGTCAGTATGAGTTTGAACTATGTAGAGTCATATAAAAGTCCATAGGACTTTTTTCACATAGTTTTCCCCCTAGTGTGCTCTGAATATGAGTGACATTGATTTTGAGCAAAGTTGTGTTGTTAAATTATGCTTCAGACTTAAGTACAATGTGAAAGAAACATATGCAAAGCTTTCCCAGGCCTACGGAGATAATGTTTTGTTAGGGGCACCAGTTTTTAGGTGGCTTAAGACATTTTCAGAAGAAAGGGAATCGATTGTAGAGGAACTTCAGAAGGTAGTACCTGTAACTGCAAGAACTGATGAAAATGTTGCCAAAGCCTGGGATTGTATGTGTTCTGGTCATCACTTGACAGTCAAACTGATCGAAGAAGAGTTGAATTTGATTTACACCACCATTCATCAAATTTTGGCAAATGAATTGGGGGGATGAGGAAAATCTACATGAAAATTATTCTGAGAAACATTTTGCAGGAATAAAAGAACAACAAAAGGAGAAAAGTGCTTAGAGCACATTGAAAACAATCCTTATTTTCTAAAATCTGTAATGACTGATTATGATTTTTGGCTTTTCTATTATGACCCAGAAAAAAAAAAAGTGCCAGAGCCAGGAATGGTATTCTTAAAACTCACCATGATAAAAAAATAAGCAAATCGAAGATCAAATGCATGTTGACATGCTTCTTTTTCTATGGCCAGGGAGTTGTCCACAAAGAGTTTGTGCCTCCTGGCCAAACAGTGAACTAATACTTTAGTTTTTAAAAGACTTCAGAAAAGGGTTATTGTGCATATGGCCAAGAAGCAAGACCAGCTGATAACTGCTTCACGGCAGTGTGCTTTTTGACATTACATTTTCAGTTCATGAGTTTTTGGCATGTAAAAGCATCCCTCTGAGGGCTAAGCCGCCTTTTTTCCCCTGACTTGAGTCCATGTGACTTTTTGGACTCCTGCGATTGAAAATTAATTTTAAAGGGTGTCATTCTGGGACACCAGAAAAGTGACCAGTTGAAGGCAATTCCAGTATCTGCGTTCTAGCACTGCTATGAAGAATGGAAAAATTATTTCCGATACTGTGTAACTTCCCAAGATGATTACTTTGGCACTTTTTTTGGGACACCAGAAGACATTAGCTGTAACTGACTAGCTGAAGGCAATTCCAGTATCTGAGTTCTAGCACTGCTATGAAGAATGGGAAAATTGTCTCCAGTGCTCTGTAACTTCCCAAGGTGATTACTTTGGCACCTTTTCTGGGACACTAGAAAGCATTAAAACAGCTGTAACTGACCAGCTGAAGGCAATTTCATTATCCGAGTTCTAGCACTGCTTTGAAGAATGGAAAAATTGTATCTAATGCTCTGTAACTTCCCAAGGTGATTACATTGAAAGAGATAGTATGAGATGAAATTTTATATGAATAAGCATCTTTAATAATAAAAAACTGTTTTATGTTGTTTACAAACCTCATAATTGCATCTCTGACCCTACTAAACGCCAGCAGACTGTTAAGAACCACAAACTCTTTATAGTTTTCTGCTGATCTATGGATGTGTGTCCACAACAGTTTGTTCAGACAACTCATTTTCAGTCATCTAGTATATAGCTGCTGAACCCACACAAGCTTCTTAACTCTGTGCCATGTATTCAGCGGGCGTATTCAGATTTAATGTCCACTTTAAAAACCCATATAGGGAAGGGAAACTGTGAGAGTCATCACACTGATATTTGTTACTGCTAAAGTATTAAATTCTCATGTTACTTGAGGTTTGTTGTAACAGGGCCGTTCCTAGCGGTGGTGCAGCATGTAAAAGTACACGAACAGCCAAAATCAGGGGTGGCCGGACTCTTGCGATACTATGCCTAAATATTTAACATTAATTAAAGTTATTGTAAGTACTTGTCATATCTAAGTACTTTTTATACAATTTGTCATGTGTAAGTACTTGGTGAGTATGAAATAAAAATATTATTAATCATTGAGCATTTTTATTTAAATTTTGGGGCGGCAATCTTAGGAAAATACGCGGGCAGCCAATGGCCTAGGAATGCCCCTGTGTTTATACTTATCATGTGAAATAATTTTTGCTAGCTGAAGCCGATTATATCACTCTTGAAATGGTCATATGGGAAACTCTAAACATGCCTTCAACTTTTGAAATTTTATTATCCATCTTGTGAGTTCTACTAGAATTGCATTAAAAATTGCATGTATTATAATAATTTATCCTTTGGATTTAAGCAGTTCTAGAAGCCTTATCCCTTTATATATATGCATGAGTGATGCCATCTGTAGTATTACTCAGTATTTTGTATAGCCTAAACTGTACCAGTTTTTTTCACTTCAGTGTATTGTCACAATTCTTCTTTTTTGTAGTTAAGTTTTGATTACATACATGCTACATAGATAAATTGTTCAAAAATTTTTTAAAAATGACGTATTTAATGTGATAGATTATATGCCAATATGCCCAAGAATGCAACTGTGTGGAACGGGCTATAGCAAAGCTGAATATGTTTGTAAACATTACTGCATACTTATATTCACTTCCCATTTTCTTGTCACATATGAAGCTGTGCAAAAGGCTACATGTTGTTATTTTCTATTGAATGGCATATAGTAGTTTTTTTTATTTCTTTTTTCTTTCCCACCTACACCTTACCAGTGGTCAAGTAGTTGTTTTAGAAATTCTCAAATCCACAATAATTTAAAAATGAATTCTTTCCATTCTCATTACACCACGTGACTTTTTTTAGTGTATTGATGATTCTAGTTATGGCTAAATAAGAAAACTCTGCAACTATGGGGTAACAATTCAAATGCCCTTGTACCATTTAACTAAAATTGGTTGTAACAACCAATTCCAGCTTCAGTATTTATGACTTTATTCTTCATTTCAAATTTATGAGGACTTAGAATATTTATTTCACTGTGTTAGTAACAGCAATCATTACTAATTTTTTTATTTTAGAATTTTAGTCAATATGTGAGAAATAATTGGAACTGTGAGAGGAATACTTTTTTTTTTTTTTTACTGCATGCCTTTGTAGTATAATTGAAAGCACGTCTTGACTAGCATTGAGAGATCTGGAGATCAAATATCAACAAGGGTTTCAATGATTCTTTATGTTTCATGATTTTGAACGAATTCTGAATCTTTCTACAAATAATGCCCAAACTAAAATGTGGTGGGCAATAATTTATCGCAACCAGGAATTGATCACTGTACTCTCTCTTTGCTAGTCACTGTTTAGTGTGTGGTGCGGAGGGGAGAATTTAAGAAATTTTCTCATCACATGCCTTCATGATGTATCTGAAAGCATGTTCAGCATTTGAATACCAATGAGGGAACTGTTAATTTTTTATATTTTCTACTCTGAAATAAATGTAATGACTTTACATCTACGGAGGATGTTTAAACATGCTTGGAATAGTTTCAGAGCTGTTTAATTAATGTTTAAAATGTAAAGAGTAATTTTTAAAATTTTCTATCTGATAGCCTTTTTTCTGGATTATTAGATCTTCATTGTGTTTTACATGATGGAGGGGCTTTATGTAAAGTTTCTAGGGGTATTGATTTCGGTTCGTCTTGCATTATTTTTGAGAGTCCATCAGTCGGGATAGGTTTACACGTAAAGAGAGCTCCTAACAAGAGACTAAAAGCACAATACTCCATAGTAAAATCTCTGGGGGACTTGCAGAAACCTGTTGTAAAGGTGTATATGCAATACTCATACCAGTCTTTGTTTTTTCAAGGAATGTAGAATTACTTTTTGAAGTACGACTTGTAGTTTTCTTGATGATGTTTCACTCTCCGAAAGTCATTGGGGTACATAAAAGAAATTTCATCTGTAAATATTGGACATAACACTTTCTCTTGATATGTTGAGGTGATTTGAAAATTTTTTTCTACTCTTGATACTTTTAGTTTCCCATTGTAAGAGAATGCTGCGACACTCCTACCTTATTGAAACTTTCTTTGCTTCGATGGGACCAGTTTTGCACATTATTTGCTCATCATTTTCAGTAACCAATAAAACATTTGTTTGTTGCAATCATTTAGAGAACAACATGCTTCATCAGGGGTAAAAATATTTCCATTTATCTCCTGCTATATGGTTTTCATATAGAGTTTTTCAAATTTTTCTCCTTTAGCCACATGCGTTGGCAAAGGCTGGTAAACATTGGTTTTTGCCTGTTTTACCTGTTACCTTGTAAATCTTTGTTTATTATTTTATTTATTGTTGTTACAGATGTATTCAAAGATTTTGCAGTTGATTTCTGTATTGGCAGATTTTAGCAATTTTACTTAAGAATCATAAGAAACAGTATGTATCTTTTTGGGGTATTCATTTGGAGTTTTCTTTCCATGAAGCAATAATAATTGATGGTTTTTCCCTTTCCAGCTAACAATGTTGCTTATTTTGCACTTATTTTAATACCATGCGTTTCAAATTTTTTGAATTATGTAGGAGGAATATTATATAAGTCTTCGGAAAACATAAGAACATATACTTAAATCTATGGCTCATGTGATATTTTAAAAGAAGAATAAATGTAAAAGTAGCAGATGCTATTTCTCATTTCGAATAATAAGCTGATGCCTAAAAATGTTTATTGCAAATTGTTTGCTTTTTAAAAATTCTCTTTCAGAATAGTTCTAAAAGTGTGTGTCCTCTGTATTATCCACAGATTGCAACAATAATCAGACTAATTTTTGGACATGAGTTCAAAATTTTGTATGAATTTAAAAACTAATTTAATTAACTTTAGACTGATTTTGCCTTACAGCAGCACTACATATGACATTTAAAATCATACAATTACATCTTATATGTTACTTCAAAGATTAAATATTAATGCAAGTCCAAAGCCATATCTGACTAAAGTCTTGTGGTATAAATAAATACTTAACCTCCTTTACCTTTTTTTTGCTTGTGAAAACAAGAGCCAAGGAAATTGGTATCTTATTCAAATCTGTGTTAATCTCACTTCTCTTCCTAATTTTAATTAATTACATTGTCTGCTAAAACCCTTGTAGTAAAGTTTTCCCACAAATTTAATCCCAGTTTATTTTTACCATTACATTTGCATGGGCAGTTAGATTAGTAACACTACTGACATTTCAATTTATTAATGCTCGTGAGCTTATCTTTCTGTACTGGGATTTTTCATTTTTGGTGCCAGAAAAGTCTCTACAAGTACTATTTTTAATAATAATCTATCTCTGTTTTTGATATGAACAAACATATGTCTGAAAGGAAGCGTAAGTGTGGACAAATACATTTTTTACATAAACTGATCACATAAATTCTGTTTCCTCAAATTTCATTAGAGATATATTTCTCATTCAATTAATTCAATTTTCACTTTGTGGCAAGACAAAATTGCATTAAAATTCAGAATATTTTCATTAAAAATTGAAAGATATAGAAAAA